TTCACCATGTTGGCCAGGAAGGTCTCGATCTCTTGACCTTGTGATCCACCTACCTTGGCCTCCCAAAGTGCTGGGATTACAGGCGTGAGCTGCTGTGCCCTGCCAACTCTTCTTAATTTTAATTATGTTGAATTTGTCAGTTCTCTTCTTTATACTTATTTTCTAACATAAGAAAATTCTTCCTTTGCTCGTGTGGCTTTGCAAGGTTTAGCCCCATAGCTGCTATCATGGGCTAGCATTGAGTGCCTGTGGCTTTTCCAGGTGCAGGGTCCTAACTCTTGGTAGATCTACCATTCTGGGGTCTGGAAGATGGTCCTCTTCTCAAAGTTCCACTAGGCAGTACCCCAGCAGGTACTCTGGGGGCTCCAACCCCACACTTCTCCCCCATACTGCCCTGGTAGAGGTTCTCCATGAGGACTCTGCCCCTGCAGCAGGCTTCTGCCTGGACATCCAGGCTTTTCCATACATCCTCTGAAATCTAGGTGGAGGCACCCAAGCCTCAACCTTTGCATTCTGCACACCTGCAGGCTTAACACCACATGGAAGCCGCCAAGGCTTATGGCTTGCACCCTCTGATACAGTGGCCCAAGCTGTATCTGGGGGCCTTTGAGCCAAGGCTGGATCTGGAGCAGCTGGGATTTAGGGTAGTGGTGTCATGAAGCCGTGCAGGGCAGTGGGGCCCTGGGTCTGGCTCACAAACCATTCCTCCCTGCTAGGCTTCTGGGCCTGTGATGGGAGGGGCTTCCATGAAGGTCTCTGAAATACCTTAAAGGCTTTTTCCCCAGTGTCTTCGCTGTTAACACTTGGCTCCTTTTTGCTTATGCAAATTTATACAGCCTGCCTGATTCCTTCCCTGAAAATGTGCTTTCTTTTCTACCACATGGCCAGGCCGCACATTTTCTAAATTTTTTACTCTGCTTTGCCCCTTTAAATAGAAGTTGCAGTTTTGTGGCATTTCTTTGAGCATAGGCTGTTAGAAGCAGCCAGGTCCTATCTTGAATGCTTTGCTGCTTTCAAATTTCTTCCACTAGATACCCTAAGTTATCATTCTTAAGTTCAAAAGTTCCACAGATCCTGGCTGGGCACAGTGGCTCACACCTGTAACCTAGCACTTGGGGAGGCTGAGGCGGGCGGATCACCTGAGGTCAGAAGTTTGAGACTAGCCTGGCCAACATGGTTAAAACCCTGTCTCTACTAAAAGTTCAAAACTTAGCTAGGCGTGGTGGCGCATGCCTATAATCCCAGCTACCCGGGAGGCTGAGGCAGGAGAAGTGCTGGAACCCAGGAGGCGGAGGCTGCAGTGAGCCGAGATTGTCCCACTGCACTCCAGCCTGGGCGACAGAGTCACCACTCAGTTGCAAACAAAAACAAAAACAAAAACAAAAAAGTCCACAGATCCCTAGGGCAGAGGCACAGTACAGCCAAGCTCTTGGCTAAGGAAAAACAAAAATGACCTCTGCTTCAGTTCCCAATAAATACTAATAAGTATTGTCCTTTCCATCTGAGATTTCCTCAGCGTGAACTTTATTGTCTATATCACTATCAGTATTTTGGTCACAACCATTCAGCAAGCCTCTAGAATGTCCCAAACTCCCTCATCTTCCTGTTGTCTTCTGAGCCCTCCACACTCTTCCAACCTCTGCCTGTTAAGAAGTTCCAAAGCCAGTTCCACATTTTCAGATATCTTGATAGCAGTGCCCCACTTCTCAGTACCAATTTTCTTGTATTACTCCATTCTTGCAGTGTGATAAATACCTGAGACCGGATAATTTATAAAGAAAAGAGGTTGAATTGGCCCATGATTCTGCAGACTGTATAGGAAGCATGGTACAGGAAGGATGGCATCTGCTCAGCTTCTGGGGAGGCCTTGGGAAACTGACAATCATGGTGGAAGGCAAAGGGGGAGCAGCACTTCACATGGCCAGAGAAGGAACAAGAAGAGAGCAGGGCAAGGTGCCACAGACTTTTAAATGACCAGTTCTCACAAGAACTTACATCACAAGAACAGTCCCACAAAGATTGTGCTAAACCATTCATGAAGTACCACCATCCAATCACCTCCCACCAGGCCCCACCTCCAATATTGGGAATTAGAATTTGACATGAGATTTGGGTGGAGATTCAAATCCAAACCACGTCCTTTTGCTTTTTTCTGTTTTCTGTTTGCAGGGTAGATTTTTCTCTATCCCTTTACTTCGAGCCTAAGGGTGTCACTGTGTGTGAGATGGGTCTCTTGAAGACAGCATACCATTGGATCTTGCTTCTTTATCCAGGTTGCCACTGTGCATTTTAATTGGGGCATTTAGCCTGCTTACAGTCAAGGTTAGTATTTATTAATATGTGTAGACTCGATCCTGTCATGTTGTTAGCTGGTTATTATGCAGACTTGTTTGTGTGGTTGTTTTATAGTGTCACTGGTCTGTGAACTTAAGTGTGCTTTTGTGGTGGCTGGTATTTAGCACTCCCTTCAGGACTTCTTGTACAGATGTTCTTTTATTGTAACCGCACAGGATGGGCTCTGTCCCCCAAATAACATGTGGTGATGAAACACGTGAAATGTTATCTGCCAGGGTCACTCATTACAGACTCTGTGCCCAGAGTATTTTTTCATGGCTCTGTTTTCTGTTAGTTGTAATAGAATACTTGAAATCTGGCTGGGCATGGTGGCTCATGCCTGTAATCCCAACACTTTGGGAGGCTGAGGCAGGTGGATCGTTTGAGGCCAGGAGTTTGTGAACAGCCCAGCCAACATGGTAGAACCCCATCTCTACTGAAATACAAAAACAAAGCCGCCATGGTGGTGCATGCCTGTAATCCCAGCTACTTGGGAGGCTGAGGCAGGAGAATTACTTGAACTGGGAGGTTGAGGCTGCAGTGAGCCAAGATTGCCCCACTGCATTCCAGCCTGTGCAACACAGCAAGACTGTTTCAAAACAAACAAATAAAAAAACACCCCTGAATTTGGGTTAATATATAAAAAATACCTATTTTGTACAATTCTCAAAGTTTGGAAATCCAAGGGCAAATGGGGGGTACATCTGGTGAAAGCTTCTTGCTCTTTACTATCTGAGGCAGTGGAGATCACTAGGCAAGGGGGCTGATTGTGCTAACCCTGGTCTGTTTCTCTTCTTACAAGGCCACAAGTCTTATTTGTAGGATAACCCATTAATTCATTACCTCTTCAGTTCATCAGTGGATTAATCCATTCATGAGGCAGAGTCCTCATGACCTCTTAAAGGCCCTGCTTTCAGTACTGACACATTGGGGATCAAATTTCGTTATGAGCTTTGGAAGGGGAAATTATTCACACCTAGCAAGGGCTGATTAGGTACACTGCTTCAGCTGAAAATATCAGACTGAGGGAAAATGGGAATTAGGCAGATACCATATTGTTTGCGTAAGTAGTTAAGGAACACACAACCCCATGTGTTATGTTGGTGCAGGTCTTCCTAAATCTAGCCCCTAGATACTATCAGAAGTTCAACTTTCTAAATAAACATGTAAGACTATGCAGTTATGTTTGGGACTTTCTCATGAGAGGTAGTACCGACCCACTATACAGAGAGACACTAGAGGTGATCCAGGTAGCATATCTCAGTCCCTGAAATCACCAGTGAGAGGCGTGTCCCTGTTGGCTGTTACTTTACTGAATATATTCAGTTCTAGCATCAGAATTGCTGTGATGGAGAAAGTGAGTGTAGACAGGAAAGGCTGACCAAGTCATTGAATAATTGTTTGGAGTCTATAGCATTGTGTGAACTTCCTCTAAAGTGAGTGTAGATTCCTAGCGCTGTCAGTCTGAACCTTCCTTCTCTGCACATGTGGGATGTTTCAGGACTCAGTGACCTTTGAGGATGTGGCTGTGACCTTCACCCAGGAGGAATGGGCTTTGCTGGGACCTTCCCAGAAGAATCTCTACAGAGATGTGATGCGGGAAACCTTCAGGAACCTGATGTCTGTAGGTAAGGATGACATCATTTCTTCACTTAGTCAATTACAGAACAAGTGTTTCCTGGTCATCTCCATTGCTCAATGATTTGGAACATAGTAGGCAATACAGTAGACCCTTGAACAAGGTGGGGGCTACAGACTCTGATCGTTCACACAATCAGATGCCTGTGAATTTAGAGTCCCTAAAAAGTTACTAATAGATGACTGTAGACCAGAGCTTTATTGATAACAAAGTCTATTAACACGTATTTTATGTTTGGTATATATCTATATACATATATATGGCCAGGTGTGGGGGCTCACACCTGTAATTCCAGTACTTTGGGAGGCTGAGGCGGGAGGATTGCTTGAGTTCAGGATTTTGAGACCAGCTGTAGCAATGAAGTGATAATCCTGTCTGTATAAAAAATTAAATTAGCCAGGCATGGTGGCACACCTGTGTTCCTAGCTATTCAGAAGGCTGAAGCAGCAGGTTTGCTTGAATTGGGAAGGTTGAGCTTGTGGTAAACCATGATTGTACCACTACACTTTAGCCTGGGCAACAGAGTGAGTCCCTGTATGAAAAAAATAAAAATAAAAATAAATAATAAATGTGTGTGGCTGGGCACAGTGGCTCACGCCTGTAATCCCAGCACTTTGGAAGGCCGAGGCAGGTGAATCACTTGAGGTCAGGAGTTCGAGACGAGCCTGGCCAACATCATGAACCCCCCCATCTCTATTAAAAATACAAAAATTAGCTGGGTGTGGTGGTAGGCACCTGTAATCCCAGCTACTTGGGAGGCTAAGACATGAGAATCACTTGAACCTGGGAGGGGGAGGTTGCAGTGAGCCAAGATCACACCACTGCACTCCAGCCTGGGTGACAGACTGAGACTTTTTTTTTTTTTTGAGACAGTGTGTGTGTATATATATGTTTAAGACAGTGTCTCTTAGACATAGACTTGCTAGGTCTACAGGCGAGTGCCACCATCCCCAGCTACTTTTTGTACAATTTTTTTGTAAGGTGGAGGGTCTGGAACTCTTGGCCTCAAGCTTTCCCCCTCCCTAGCATCCCAAAGTGCAGGAATTACAGGCATGAGCTACCATGCCAAGCCTGTTTGGTATATTATATGTACTGTATTCTTACAATAAAGCAAGTTTTTCTTTGGAAAAGGTTATCAAAAAAATTAGAAGATATATTGACTTTAGTAAGTCAAAGTGGATTATCAAGATGTTCTTCCTTGTCTTCACATTGAGTAACCTGAGCAAAAGGAGGGCTTGGTCTTGCTCTTAGGGATGGCAAGAGCTGATGAAAACATGCATGAGTGGACTATGCAGTTCAAACCCATGTTGGCCAAGGTTCAACTGAACTTTGGTGAATAAATCAGCCATGGCCACAGTGTCCCATGAACATAGAATCTAGTAATTTTTCTGTAATTTTGTAATAACTTATGACTTTTATGGGTCTAAATTTTATTCCTAAAATGTAAAGACCAGATCACTGAAGATCAGTACAAGAATTCCAGAAGAAATATAAGGTAAACTGCACTTACAACCTAGAGCTATGTCCCTTAAGATATTGTTAGAATGGACCAGGTGTGGTGGCTCACGCCTGTAATCCCAGCACTTTGGGAGGCTGAGGCAGGTGGATCACGAGGTCAGGTGATTGAGACCATCCTGGTTAACATGGTGAAACCCTGTCTTTACTAAAAATACAAAAAATTAGCTAGGCGTGGTGGCGGGTGCCTGTAGTCCCAGCTGCTCAGGAGGCTGAGGCAGGAGAATGGCTTGAACCCAGAGGCATAGGTTGCAGTGAGCCAAGATCGCGCCACTGTACTCCAGCCTGAGTAACAGAGTGAGACTCTGTCTCAAAAAAGAAAAAAAAAGATACTGTTAGAATGACAAAATAATTTTAAAAGCAAGCAAAGAAAATGAAGCAGTCTTCAAATTCATTCATTTTTAGAAAAATTTTTCCAGGCTGGGCATGGTGGCTCACGCCTGTCATCCCAGCACTTTGGGAGGTCAAGGGAGGCAGACTGCTTGAGCCCAGGAGTTCAAGACCAGCCTGGGCAACATGGTGAAACCCCATCTCTACAAAAATATAAAAGTTAGCCAGGCATGGTGGCATGCGCCTGAGGTCCCAGCTATTAGGGAGGATGGCTTGAACTCAGGAGGTCAAGGGGGTGATGAATCGTGAACATTCCACTGCACTTCAGCCTGGGTGACAGAGTGAGACCCTGTCTCCAAAAAAAAATTTTTTTCCAAAAAAAAATATACTTCCACAAAACATAAATATCCAGTGTTTTCAAAATAGTTGCCCTGGAACCAGTGTTAACATTGATGTTCACAGTCAATTTCTTTTGATAATAAGTGTAATGCAGCCCTCTTGCAGAGTATTCGGTCCATTGACATTTACACCATTCAGACAGGCCAGAAAACGTACACTTTCCATCATAATGTAAAATATGTAAATCAGATACCTACTAATGAACATAAAATCATTTATAAACCAACCCTTTGTATTGTGCTTCTGATTTCTCACAGCAGTCATATGGTAGAGAGAGTCTGTGAAGGTAAAGAAGATGGTCAATGTGAAGAAATCTTAAGCCTTATTCCACATGGTATAACGAAGACGACCATGTGAAAGCAGTGTGTGTGGAGAAGGCAACATGGATCATTCATCTCTTAATTGCTGCATCAGAGCTGACACTGGACACAAATCATATGAGTATCAGGAACACAGAAGCCACATAAGCAGTGTGTGAAAACCTTCAGCTTTTGCCACTCCTTTCAAACGCATGAAAAGCCTCACACTGGAAAGAAACTCCATGATTGTAGGAAATGTGGAAAAACCTTCATTTCTGTTCAAACCTTTCGAAGAAACCTGGTAATTCACAGTGAAGAGGAACCTTATAAATGTAAGTTTTGTGGGAAGGCTTTTGATAATCTACATTTATATCTTACCCATGAAAGAACTCACACTGAGGGGGAAACCTCATGAATGTAAACGATGTGGTAAATCCTTTGGTTATGCCACTACCCTTTGAGTACACGGAAGAACTCACACTGGAGAGAAGCCATATGAATGTAGTAAATGTGGGAAACCCTTCCGTTGTCCCAGTTCCTTTCATAGACATACAAAGTTTCTCTCCAGTGTGAGTCCTTTCAGGTGTAAACAATGTGGGAAAACGTCCAAGTGTTCCAATTACATTCAAATGCATGAAAGAACTCACACTGAGAAAAACCCTATGCATGTCAGCAATGTGGGAAAGTGTTATCTCATCTCATAAGCTTTCAAAGACACGTGGTAATGCACACTGAAGATGGACCTCATAAATGTGAAATATGTGGGAAACCTTTTCCTCACCCTATTCATTTAGAAGACATGAAAGGACTCACACTGGAGAGAAACCCTGTGAATGTAAGCAATGTGGGAGAGCCTTCAGTTGTTCCAGTTCCATTTGAAAACATGCAAGAATTCACTCCGGAGAGAAACCCTATATATGTAAACAATGTGGCAAAGCCTTTAGATATCCCAGTTCTGTTCGAAATCATGAAAAGAATCACACTGGTGAAAAACCCTATGAATGTAAGCCATGTGGGAAAGCCTTTAGTTATTCCGGTTACTTTCGAATACATGAAAGAATTCACACTGGAGAGCAGGTGTATAAATGTAAGGACTATGGAAAAACATTCACTTATCCCAGTGCCTTTCATAAACACAAAAGTACCCACACTTCACAAACTTTATGAATGTAAGGAATGGGGGAAAGCATTTGATTTAGTTCCTTTCATAGTCATGAAAGGATTCACACTGGAGAGAAACCCTATGAATGCCAAACATGTGGAAAAGCCTTCGGTAGTTCTAAGTACGTAAAAATACATGGACGAACTCACTGGAGACAAGTCCTATGCATGTAAAGAATGTGGGAATGTTATTTTATTGCCTCAGCCCCCTTCAAAGACATGAAAGGACTCAATCAGAGAAAAGTTGGATGAATGTAAAAAATGTGATAAAGCCTTCCGTTCTTCCAGTACTGTTACAAACCATGAAAAAACTCACACTTAAGAAAAACACAGTGATACTCAGAATATGGGAAACCTTTCTCTTCCAGTCTTTTGAAGGCACGTGGTGTGACACACTGGTGACAGACCTTATGACTGTAAGAAGTGTGGAAAAGTATTAGTCCTTGTGTGTTTTAGATTCATGAATCATGAATTTACTCTGGAAGGAAACTATGAATGTGGTAAAGCCTTGGGTAGTTTCAGTTTTCTCTTGAATAAAGTCATTTCCTGGTATTCTCAGGGATTGGTTCCAGCACCCCTTGAGAATGTATAATTTCGCTCAAGTGCTTTATATAAAACAGTGTATTTGCTTATAACCTAGGCACATCCTCCCGTATCCTTTAAATCATCTCTAGATTACTTGTAATACCTAATGTATTGTAAATGCTATGAAAACGTATTGTTTAGGGAAGTATGACAAAAAACATCTGTACATATTCAGTACAGACACAGCCACCCTATGGCTGCCTACCTAGTACACATCATCTACAATATAACATTTTTAAAAAAAACAGGTATGGATTGGTTTCATTAAATGACTTGAAAGACTGTGTTAACATTCTCTAAATCCCTGGTTATTTTCTCCTGTTAGCCCACACATGATGACGATTAGGATGCTCTGTGGTGCCTAAAGTTGCACTGTGTCAAGGTGCCAAGATATGGGGCAGTGTCAGTAAGCAATGAGATATCAAATTGACTAGAATCATCTGACAGGACATTAGAAGTATCATCTAGGTTGGAGGTACCAAGTTCTGACTGCAGATGTTGACTCTGGTCAATAATACAAATGTTGGATTTACGGAATTTGAAGGTCAAAGATATTTAAGCACTGATGGTCCAACAGATTCTAGTTGGGGACATTCTCAAGGATGTGATTTACCCAGAGGGATTAACCCCAGTGAAGGAGCTAGATTAGGAGAGTTTCTGGGGTCATGGTTAAGACTAGGTTCTACTTGGAATGGATATCTGACCAGAAATCTTTGTTTTGAGACAGAGTCTTGCCCTGTCGCCCAGCGTGGAGTGCAGTGACGCGATCTCAGCTCACTACAAGCTCCACCTCCCAGATTCACGCCATTCCTCAGCCTCCCAAGTAGCTGGGACTACAGGTACCTGCTACCACGCCCAGCTAATTTTGTATTTTTAGTAGAGATGGAGTTTCACTGTGTTAGCCAGGATGGTCTTGATCTCCTGACCTCATGATCCACCCAAAGTGCTGGGATTACAGGTGTGAGCCACTGTGCCTGGCCCAGAAATCTTTCTTGTATCATTAGTAGAGTTGCCCACTTCATCACCGAAGCCATCAGGACACAAGAGAAGTCCTTAGGTTCTCTTGCCCACATAGCCCTAGACAACCACATTGGGACTATCTCCCTACTTCGCAAGGTTGTCTGTGCTAACACTTGCTTCTGCATCTGGGTAAATCTTCTAGTCAGGCTCAATTGGGAACATATAAGATCTTAAAACCAGCCAAATTTCTGAGCCTTCCTGTCTAGACTTCCTGGGTTACATTTCCAATCCTAAGCTTTCCCTTGTTCTCTGGAACAAATATTTTGGTTACAAGCTCCTTATGCCTTTTCCCCAGAAGTATGTAGAAATTATTCCTTCTAAAATGTGATCTTGATAACAGAGTGCAGTGGCACGCTCTTGGCTTACTACAACCTCCACCTCCCGAGTAGCTGGAATTACAGGTGTGCGCCACCATGCCCGGCTAATTTTTTGTCCTTTAGTAGAGATGGGGTTTCACCATGTTGGCCAGGATGGTCTCAATCTCCTGACCTCATGATCCACCCACCTCAGCCTCCCAAAGTGCTGGCATTACAGCTTGAGCCACCATGCCCAGCTGATACCAGGGAACTCCCAGAGCAAAACACTAAATTACTTTCATTCCTCTAAGGTCTATGACTCTAATCAGCAGAAAGTAGAGCAGTCATCACTCCTTTTTCTTCAAGATTTAGGAATGGACATAAAAGGAGGGATTTGTAACAACAACAGATTATGTGGTACAACTTCTATATAATGAAGCTGAGTTTTCAGTTGCCATGCACCCAACACTGAAGGTCACATAATCTGAGCATGTCCAGATGAACCAAATGTGTAACCACGGGTGGAACCTGTATGCTCGGACTGAGGTGTGGAGATTAAAGTAAAAGGAGATACCAGGCTGGGCGCGTTAGCTCACACCTGTAATCCCAGCACTTTGGGAGGCTGAGGTGGGTGGATTGTCTGAGCTCAGGAGTTCAAAACCACCCAAAGCAACATGGTGAAACCCTGTCTCTACAAAAGATACAAAACAACCGGGTGTGGTGGCGCACGCCTGTAGTCCCAGCTACTTGGGAGGCTGAGGCAGGAGAATTGCTTGGCCCCAGAGGTGAGGGTTGCAGTGAATGAGATCGTGCCACTGCACTCCAGCTTGGGCTACAGAGTGAGATTCTGTCTCAAAAAAAAAAAAGATAACACATGACAGAATCCAGGATCTAATCAGGTTGGGCCCTGGTATCATCCTGGTATCATCCCATGGCAGGATCCAATCGAGTCACATCAACCTGGCATCAGATCATTGCAAGATCCAGTGAGTTCATGTCTTATTACCCTACGCTTATAAAACTTGGCAAAGCCCCCAGTTCAGGGAGACAGATTTGAGCATTTCTTCCTTTCTTCTTGCCAGTCAAACTTGTAAGTAAAGCTTTTCTTTCTTCAAAAGCTGGTGCCATGCAATATATTGGCTTGTGTGTACATCTGGAAGTAAGCCAATTCATTGCTTGCTAACATAACAAAGAATCAGCAACTGTGAAAATGAAACAATTAAAATTATCCAGTCTGGGCCTGGCACGGTGGCTCACGCCTGTAATCCCAGCACTTTGGGAGGCCCAGGGGGGTGGATCATCTGAGGTCGGGAGTTCGAGACCAGCCTGACCAACATGGAGAAACCTGGCTCTACTAAAAATACAAAATTAGCCGGGCATGGTGGCACATGCCTCTAATCCCAGCTACTTGGGAGGCTGAGGCAGAAGAATTGCTTGAACCCAGGAGGTAGAGGTTGCAGTGAACCGAGATTGCGCCATTGCACTCCAGCCCAGGCAACAAGAGTGAAACTCCATCTCAAAAAAAAAAAAGAAAAAAGAAGAAGAAAAAAAATTACCAGTCTGTGGGGAAAAAAAGTAAAGAAATTGAGAGAATGTGTTACTAGTATACCTGCCTTGCCAGTCATGTTAAAGTTCTTCAGAGCAAAGGAAACTTATACAGGTTGGGAAATCAGATGTTTCAAAAACAAAACAAAACTTGTTAGAAAACAATTAAATGAAGGCATAAAAATGACTTTCTTTTCTTCTCCCTCATAGATAAATGTTTGTTCAAATGAATATCAACAATGTATTGGGTGGTTATAGCTTCTAACAGGTCAGATGCTTGACAGTGATGTTATATGGGATTGGAAAGAAGAATTCAGAACACTCTAACATATTGGCACTACCCCAGAAACCAGTATAGTGTTACTTGAAAACGAAAGTCCATTAGTTGCAAAATGTAAACTGCAAACTATGGAATTCACTAATAAAATTTAAGAAACAATATAAACTTACTATACTAATAGAAGCAAGCAAATGGAATATAGAATGCTCAAAAGAAGGCAGAAAAATAGAGCCAGTAGAAAAAACCACAGGTACAACAAACAATACATATGAACATATTAATCTAATTATGTCTATTACCACTTTGAATTTTTTTTTTTTGAGATGGAGTCTCACTCTGCCCAGGCTGGAGTGCAGTGGCGTGATCTCGGCTCACT